GAATCGTCTCCCCCTGAACGATAACGAGTGATCTTCCCCCCGTCGTTCCGATGACACTGGTCGCATCACTCCAGGTCCATGGCGTGGAACGCAACCTGTTAATGTGCACCGACCGCCACGTTGCCATAGACAGCCCTTCTTCTTGCCACCTCGCTCTACAGGGTGTCCGACGATTCGTCGAACGACCCAGGACGCGCTTCTTCAGCTTCGCAGTAAATTGTTTGCGTCTCTTTCGCTGGACGTTTGTGGAATTTGCCTATCGAGGAATTTCTTCTGCTCGCAGGTACTTTATGCTGTTGGTGATTTGCGAACAGGAAGCGTTTCTTCTTTGCGCAGACGCGGAAACGCGTTGCGAACCATCACAGGATTTCTTGCGTGAGTCGGACAGATCGGGATTAATAAGAGTCCTTCGTCGTCTGGCATCGTTGAAACGTTCAGCCTCCGTCTGATCGTCCTTTATAGCGTTCCTTATACTTTCAGAAGCTTTCAGAAGTTACGTGCTGTTCCTGTTCGTGTCCTTCCATTTGACAGTTTGAAGAACAATGATCAAGTTGTTCGAAACAGTATGTTGCTACAATTGCTGTTCCATATCGAGGGTGGACTTTGGGATTTTTTCTGGAACGAAGCAAATGTCATATCTCGATGAAACTTACCGAATGTGTTTCTACGTGCTTAGTATATGTTAATTAATTAATTAATTTTTATAAGGCATTGTCACCAAAGCTGTCGCAATTATTCACCTAGACTGCGGATTTATTGGCAGGATTTCTCTCAGGACGCTTCTTCTTAATCTTCTCTAATTCTTCAGTAACAATACCTAGAATTTCGATGCTAAAATCGTATCGAAATTCTCAAATAGAGTAAATTCTCTGCAATTGTCATTAAATATGTAAACAGAAATTGAGAGAGAGAGAGAGAGAGAGATAATATAGAGAGAGGAGACACGATTATTCGAGCCTCGCGGCTCGTTTCTATAGTCGCCTATTGTCAAATCGTATCTCCTCTTTTGACATTGTCCATTTTTCTGCACAATCTGCAATCTCTGCACAATAATTTCTCTCACATTGTCCCTCAGAAGTGATGATACGATTATTCGAGCTTTCCGGCTCCTTTTTTATAGTTGTTGACAACTGGTAACTATAAAAACGAGCCGCATGACTCGAATAATCGCATCTCCTCTTCCCAAATTGACCACTTTTGTTTAAGCTCTGAGCGTTAATTAGGGAGAATTTACTGTACATGTTGAGTGACAATTGGAGAGAATTCACTGTACATCCAAAGTACAGTAATTTCTCTTACATTGTCCCTCAGATTTGAAACGAAAAGTGGACAACTTGGGAAAATGTGATACGATTATTCGAGCCTTGCGACTTGTTTTTATAGTTGTTAACAACCGGTAACTATAAAAATATATATAATAATTAATTATTAGAATAATCCTATCTCCTCTTCCCAAATTGTCCATTTTTGTGTATAATCTGGGCGTCAATTAGGGAGAATTTACTGTATACCGTAAATTATATATATATTATTATGTATACCGTAATTTATTGTATACTGTAAATACGTTTATCACGTTGCACAAAGACACCTCGTCAAAACTAACTCAGCGATCGTTGTGCCAAGAAAGATCAAGCGATAGAGAGAAGATTGGGAATCGATTATACATTCCGGATACAATATCCTACGTAGTCGACAAAACGGGACCCAATATCTGCGATCTTTGCAATGCTCGAAACACTATGAAACATATTTCGAGCAACTGTGCTAAACGTAGACAGGAAAGGGTAAAACATCGCACATCGAATTTCCCAGAAGTGCTGCAAACAGCAGATTCTAATAAAAGAGTGTCAGCCTTGCCATCGAACTTTGCCATTCGATTTAAATGCAGACCCAAAATACTATTTAATTACACATCCCTTCAACGTGATTGTTAAATCACGCAACTACGCTGCGGATTTTATACATTCATGTGAAAAATGAGCGGTTAAAATATGAAATTGCGAAGACATAAGAGCAATAAACAGAGTAGAACAAACTAGAACAAAATAACATTGTGACACCGCTCTCAATTTATAAAAATGATTAAAAGAAACAATTTATTTTTATTTTTATTTCTGTTTCTTATAACCGACTTTTAAAATTTGTTATTTCGCACAGAGAACCGCGGTCTACTATCAACCTAATTAGAGTGACCTGACCTTGAACACTAAATTAAAAAGAAAAGAGTCACCTTGTCGAGTTACTCTTCGAAAAATTCCCAAAGAGCACCCTTTTGGAGTCTGGCCGAATATCGTCAATAACAATTCTCCGTCCGACCGCCGTTAAAAATAACGAAGCTGGTCCGATAGCATAGGTAGCCAGCCACTCGTTGATCACCCTTTCTGTTCGAGCTTCCCTATACCCAGGATTCAAGTGCGGGGCTCCGATTCCCAGCCGTAGTCGAAGGAAATCCATCGAATCGGTACGAGGTGACGCTGGCGAAGCCTTACTCCGGTTGCAGCGAGAGTGACCGGGGCTTCGTCCAAGTATTTCTGCCCGGGCGTTGTTACATAAATCGGCCGGGCGACGCGTTCGCAGAGCATTTTTCCGGGCTTTATCGGCCGGTGGGCGTCGATCGTGAATCGAGGTTCGCCGGGGCACGATATCGCGCCGATTCCCGGCCGAATTTATTGCCGCAGATAGAACGGATCGATTTAATTTTCGCGAGGCTCGCATTCCGCTTCGCTGCGATCCGGCGAGCGTCGCCGATCGGCGGGTTTGCTTGCTTGATAGTCGGATAGAGCGCGTCACGCTCCGCCATAGATGTTCACCGCCGCACAGTGCGCCGTTTATACGAGATAAAAATCATAATTTTCGGACAAAAATCATAACTTCGAAGCTAATCGATTTTCGAACGAAATGTCTTAATAATTTGTCCATTTGCGCAACGATTTGCGCAAAAAGATTGTATGACTTCATAACAGAAAATCTGGTCGCCTTTATCTCTTTATCGAATGAGAACTTTCACACGAATTTTCATGAACACATTTTCATGAGCCGAATAATATTTTGTCCGAAAGAATTTTTCATGAATTTTGCGTCGGCGCCTGAAAATTCGTGGACCGGCCATGGCTACGTATTTTGTTAAATAACTCCGAAGATCGGCAACCTTTCGCGCGCAAAAAGTTTTTATAATATCAAAATATACTGTCCGACGAATATGTCGGAGCAGGAATTCCGTGATATTTTGAGCCGTTTTTTTTTCTTCAGACCTTATCAAAAGTGTGAACAAATAAATCGAACTTGATTATTTCATTTCGGGTCAATTATTGTATTGCATATAAGTACTATAAAATTTCTATAAATTCCATCATTTTTTATAAAGACTACTTCGTAAAGCTGCCCTTTGTTCATAAGACAATGCAAATGATCTTCCTAATACGGTAATTTCTCCCTAATTCGCGCTCAGATTGCGCACAAAAATGGACAATTTGAGAGAGGAGACACGATTATCCGAGCCTCGCGGTTCGTTTTTATAGTTGTTGACAAAATCGGTAACTGTAAAAACAAGCCTCTTCCGAAATTGTCCATCTCTGTCTGCAATCTGAGCGCGAATTAGGGAGAAATTACTGCATTCGCTCGGGGAACTCGCTCGAAGTTAATCTCTGGCTAAAGTTTTTGAACATTCTGTTGCCCGATAAGATTATTTAGACATTTTGACGCATCGTGCACATAGTTTTGAACGAAGCGGTGATTTTTTTGTATTTTGTCCGTTGACGGCCGCACTGTGCGACCGCCCTCATTCGCCGTTTACGCCCTTACGGTTCTGCCTCGTCGTTGTTGCCGGTGTCTGTTCTGTCTTGTTCTGCCTTGTTCTGCCTTGTTCTGCCTGTTTCGCCGAGCGTACCGGCCACGAGATGCGTGGGAAACGAGGTAGGTAAACGCAAGGTCCAAGGACGCGATCGGCGCAACGCTCGTTTCTCATGCTATTGCCAGCTATGCGCCCTAGGGCGAGCATAATGCCCAATTGTGTCGGTCGGGTCGTGACCAGTTCGATACGGCAGTCGATTCACGTCCGATCTCGCCAGGTTCGGAAACCCGGAAATCTAGGAAACCTTGTGGAATTCGTTGAGTCACTGGTCCGTAAGCAATTCGCTTTCTTCTTCGACAATAGATTTCTGAGGATGAACTTACTCTCTCTCTCTCTCTCTTTCTCTCTCTCCCTGTTGAAGTCGCAGAATTTTCATCCGAAAGACACGCCTCGATTGTCCGTACTTCCTCCGATCATTTTAGGTTGCTTCTGTTCCCCTGCGTCCACTTCTTTTTTTTCCTTAAATCTCCACGGAGAGTTGTGCTAATCACATAATTGAACAACGCGAGTGCATAAAAAGATTCGTTATCGCTCGAACATAAACAAACGGCAGAGGGCATCAAGTGTCAAACGGTCAAGTTTGGCCTCGAGTTCCGGGTCCGAAAAGACCCGGGCGTGGTGCGGCGAGAATTAAAGTCACGAACGAGAAAATTCTGCGATTTTTCCAAGGGTCGGTTCACCCCCTTCGAGACGACTAAACGAAAAGCAAACTAAAAATAGGATTATGTTATCGATAATTCAACGCGAAGTTTCATAATGTTCCGGGTTCGCCGACCTGATTCTCGAAATAAACTCGTTCTCAGTTTCCGCGTGAACGTCTTCCTATATGTCCGATCGATGTTCGTGGCCCGATTATCTCGGCGAAATTACGTAAATCGTTGGTTACGAGGTAAGGTAATTAAATGTTCCCCACCGGTGTCTCTGTCCCCCCTATATTTTTCTGTGAATGTCTTTCTCTCACTCTTTCTCTCTCTCTCTCTCTCTCTCTTTGTCTCACTCTTTCTCTTTCTCGAGCAACGATGAGATGTTCCGCGTCGCAGCCCGATGGAAGATCGAATTAAGAAGTCCGCAGTCCCAGGAAATTGTCGGATCTGGCCCCCGCCCGCGAGGTCGCCAGAAAGACCGTAAATCGATGATCTGATTATAGGAGCAGCTGCGGAAACGGAAGGATGAGGAGGAGAGGCAGGAGATACTCAATCGATCGCTACGAGGATCGACGAAGCTCCAGGCGTTGGAGAGCCACGCGACCAGCCTCGCGGGCCAGGAGAATCCTGCTTACGCGCAGGACGAGGTGACCACCGTCGCCAGACCCAGCCATGTCTTCGCGAAAACGGTGCAGGACGTCGAGGAGCCTCCCAGGCCCCTCAGTAAGTCACATCGTTCGCGTGAAATTCGTCGAAAATCGGCCTAAACTCGGCCGTAGCTGATTCTAGCTGAAAATCGTAAGCCAAAAAAAATTGAAATTCTACTCTGACAGTGCAAATTCGGTCGAGAAATTGTTACAGGAGTTGTAAGCTACGCCTGCATTAGGTTACGAGTTAGTATGATTATTTATACTATTAAAATTTAAAAAAAAAATATAAATTAATTTGTAATAATAGTTTAACCGCTGATGCTGGCACTAAACTAACCACTATTTAATTTAAATATCAAATGCAAACTGCCACTCAAATTCGTCGAAAATCGGCCTAAACTCGGCTGTAGCTGACTCTAGCTGAAAATCGTAAGCCAAAAAAAATTGAAGTTCTACTCTGACAGTGCAAATTCGGTCGAGAAATTGTTACAGGAGTTGTAAGCTACGCCTGCATTAGGTTACGAGTTAGTATGATTATTTATACTATTAAAATTAAAAAAGATTATATAAATTAATTTGTAATAATAGTTTAATCGCTGATGCTAGTACTAAACTAACCACTATTTAATTTAAATATCAAATGCAAACTGTCACTTAAATGCTAAATTCAATTTTCATACCGTATTATTAAAATTATTCAAATTCTAAATTAAACATAAATTTTGTTTATGAACAAAATCTTACAACTAACCTCATACCTATAATTCAATTAATTTATTAATTCTTGATTTAAATTTATATTATACTCTATAACATAAATCGTGCACAACCCTCAGTAATTTTTTAATTAAATTTAAGTAACGAAACAAAAAGTAATAAAATTTAAGTAACGAACAAACTCGTAACATTTCTGTTCAACTAAAAGTGTACTCAACCCACTAAACTAATGTCAATTAAAATCATCATCGAATCGCCTCCATATAATAATTTGTTGAAATAATTTCTAATAAAAACTAACTAATACAAATTTTGTGATAACATCCGAGTCAATTTTCTTGATTACTTAGAAAGCAAAGAGACTCGTGCAAAAAAATACTATCTCGTACAAGTGCAATAGTTAGAGATCGTGTTCAGCTTCGAGATAATTGGAGACGCTATCGGACGCGCCAGGCGCCAGAGCTCTCAAGATGGCGGCCATCTTTGCGGCCCTCGTAGCTAGAGATCGTGTCTTTGCTCTTTGAAGATAGGGAGCGGGATTTGGTTCGAGTATGGACGGCGAAATGCACGTTTGCCTGACTGCGAAACCTTGTCGGGACATTTTTCACGGAATTTTATCTCGTCCCGTCTCTTAAGGAGATCATCTTTTCCTGAAACAGTGTACTATACACCACCCTCGTCGTCGTAGCCTCTTGACTCGATGGCGAGCTAACGACACTCGTTGCCCTATTAGGGCAACTATAAGACCCTGCTTATATCTACATAACTCGATCGTCGGCCCTTTTTCACGTTTTGCTCTCAAGATTCATGGGATCGTTGCGCCGAGGGTTCCTAAGGGTGCCGCCATCTTGCTCTGGAACCGAAATCTTGCCGAATTTCGTAGCGTTTTCGAGTAATTAGCTTTCCCAGGCACGATCCACTCGAGCAGAGGATCTAAAATCGAGTCAACCTAAATCAGTGTTCTAATTGTTACAATGTTGTCGAGGAAGGCGCTTCGAAATGAAGGATCTGCGATAGGATAGCTGCGAAAAATGCGAGTAAAATCGAATGTCGCACTTGGAATGTTGAATTAGAGGTTCTGTCAGACCCCGAAGAATGTCCGACTAAATCTTGTGTGCATTATTTCAGCGTACGGAGAGGTGGTGGCGATCCTGGAGAGGTTACAGCTCCAGCTGCGCAGCATTTCCGGCGCCCTGGGAATCTCGGGGCCCGGCGTCGAAGCGGAACTCGAAGCTGTGCGAACCCTGTTGGTCCAGAACCGATTCGCCTCCGCCCTGGCCACCCATCACGCCTTGAAGAGCAAGCTGCGATCGAACAAAGTTCTGAAGCACCACACGGAGGACGCGTCCACGTTGGCCCGGGATGTGCGTAAACCCAATTTCCGCTCCGCGATGGAAGACAAATGGTCTCGACAGGCTATTTTCAGCTGTCCTGTTAACAGCCACGCACCGATTGCCACGACGGTTGACACGGTTGCGCGTTCCTCGGGTGCCTCTCTCGGCCATTTGTTCCCCGTCTAGCCAGACCGCGATCTCTAAAGTAACGAGCTCGTTACGGCGAATTGTTGTTTTAGTGCGTGGAGATTCTGGAGAAGTGGCAATCGTCGTCGACGGCAACAGGTGTCGGCGGAGCGGAAACGATAACGGCCGTCGAGGAGCTGAACGGAATCCTGACGAGCTACGACATGGAGGCGCTGCTGCTCGCGCACGATTCGATCGTCTCCTACGTCGACGGCCAGCAGAGGAAGCAGAGCCCGTCGTCATCGTCGCCCAGCGGACCTCCCAGCCCTACGTCCAGCTGGAGAGGTGGGACCAGGGCGGTGGACAACATTAAAGTCATCCGGATCGAGAAGACGAACGAACCCTTGGGTGCTACCGTTAGAAACGAGGGCGACGCTGTCATTATAGGTAACTTTTCCTAGACGACTTTTCCTTTCGGCGACTCGAAAGTGCAACAGTTTTTAATCGAACGACGATCGTAGGTCGCGTGGTACGAGGCGGGGCTGCGGACAAGTCGGGCCTTCTTCACGAAGGCGACGAGGTCCTTGAGGTGAACGGCGTCGAGATGCGCGGGAAAAGTGTGAACGAGGTCTGCGACATCCTGGCGGGGATGCAGGGCAGTCTGACCTTCTTGGTGTTGCCAGCTCCCTCGAGTCACTGGAACAACCTGTCGAGTCGAAGAGACGACAACAACCAGGTAGCTGAACGTTCTCCTGCTCGTACGATCTATTAAATGGATGTTTATTCAGTAATTTAGGGAGGGAATATATCTAATTCTAAGCGTAATCTAAATGTCTGGTCGATTTTGGGCTAACCGAGGCTGCGTCATTTCCAGATACAGCACATACGAGCGCACTTCGATTACGATCCCGAAGAGGACCCTTATATACCCTGTCGAGAATTGGGCGTCAGCTTCCAGAAGGGCGACGTGCTGCACGTGATCTCGCAGGAGGATCCGAACTGGTGGCAGGCGTACAGAGAAGGCGAGGAGGATCAAACCCTGGCCGGTCTCATCCCCAGCAAAGCCTTCCAGAACCAGTAAGTCGATCGATCTTCCGGCGCCAGTCTGGAATTAATCGTCCCTGACATTTCGCTTGACCTTTGCCTGGTCTGCTTAGGCGAGAGTCGATGAAGCAGACGATCGCCGGCGACAAATCGACCGTGCGCAGCTCGAAGAAGTCCAGCACGCTGCTCTGCGCCCGGAAGAATCCGAAGAAGAAGAAGCGAAACAAATTCGGGGCGAATTACAACGACGACGGTTATCCGCATTACGCAACGACTGCCATCGACGGTAGATATCGGGGGGGATGATAGCGGGCTCTAATGTTTCCGGTCTACTAATGTCTCCCGTTCACGCGTCCCGTTTAGATTACGACAGCGAGGAGGTGCTAACGTACGAGGAAGTCGCGTTGTACTATCCCAGGGCGAACCACAAGAGACCGATCGTCCTAATCGGGCCACCGAACATTGGCAGACACGAGCTGAGACAGAGACTGATGCAGGACAGCGAGCGTTTTGCAGCGGCAATTCCTCGTAAGCCGTTCAAACCCATACAAATCACCCTAGAGACGCGCTCGTTCCACGAGACTCGCAAGGGATGCACGCGATTTCGTTGATCGATATTGCTGAACAAGCCGAGACCGTGGTAAACACACTAACGAGGGATTAGGTTGATCGTATTTAGGTATTAGCCGCGCTGCTTTCTCTCGAAGAGTTAAAATGACTACCACGGGATCCCGTCGTCTATTCTGACCGACAACGTAGACATTCAATCCCTCAGTTCCTGCACGTTTCAACCCTTTGCGCTACAATTTTAGACAATTTTTGTCAACTGTACGGCTTCATTTATTTTCATCTCCGGATATTGATAAGAGAAGATTCGAAGTTTGATGCGATTTAGCGTAACATTATTGTGTAAGGGATGAACACAGCTAACTGCAGGATCGGTTTACTAAATTTTCATCGGAAACCACGATACTGAATTATAAGGCAAACGTTTAATATCGATAAGCGCTTAGCCGTGGCTTGTTCGGTGAATAATTCACCGGTTCGCGGTCTCCTCGCTACACCGCACTGGCAAGAATCCTTTATTCCAGACACGAGTCGTCCCCGGAAGGACTCGGAAGTAGACGGACAGGACTACCACTTTATCTCTCGGTCTCAGTTCGAGTCGGACATCCTCGGCCGGAAGTTCGTCGAGCACGGTGAATACGAGAAGGCGTACTACGGCACGTCAGTGGAGGCGATACGGACCGTGGTGAACTCCGGGAAAATCTGTGTTCTGAACCTGCACCCGCAGAGCCTGAAGATCCTCCGTAACTCGGACCTGAAGCCTTACGTGGTGTTCGTCGCGCCGCCGAGCCTGGAGAAGCTCCGGCAGAAGAGGATCAAGAACAACGAGAGCTTCAAGGAGGAGGAGCTGAAGGACATCATCGAGAAGGCGCGGGAGATGGAGGACAAGTACGGCCACCTGTTCGACATGATCATCATAAACACCGACACGGATCGAGCGTACAACGATCTGCTGACGGAGATCAACTCCCTGGAGAGGGAGCCGCAATGGGTCCCCGCGTCCTGGATAGATTAACGAGAGAAGCCAGCTTCCGAGCGCGAGCCACCCTTTAAAACCAGGTCTAGACACCCCGCGCGGACCGGGTCTAGCAGCCTCGCGGGGCTTGCCGCGAGGCGCGGAGAGGGCCAGTAGCACAGCGGAAATGAAAGAGCAAGCTCCAAAGGCTAACCCGAGGCTCCTCAAAGGACTCGTTCTTCTATCTGGTGCCTGTTATACAATATTACGTTTCGTACACGCGCGCGTATCAAAACACTCGTTGCCAGACTATCGTACTCCAAGTACCGCTGGTTTCGGCGTAGTCTTCCGTGTTGCATTCGTCGTTGCCATCAGATGTTCTTCGAGGATCGTCGCCGACGTCTCCAGCGTCCACGAGCCCCAGCACCCGTCGTGTCGCGACTCTTCGTTCCTCGACCGGGCCTCGGAAAACACGAGGCGCCACAACCTTGGAGTCGAATCCTGCAGACGGTCACGACCGCGCTCCACGCGACCCTCAGGATCTCGCTTCCGCGAGTCCTCCTCGAGCTTCGGCACCTCCGTCGCTCGGCCCTCTGGCTCGAGGCTGGCTCGGGACACCTAGTTTTAACTCGCGAACGATATCCGATCCCAAGGGAAAACCGTCGCAGCTCCGCGTAAGATACACAAACGTTTTTTCCCAAAGATGAATCCTGAAAGAGATCGGCCTTCTTTCAGCAACTCACCGACTTCCTGCCGGACACGGCCGCGAGCGATACCGAACCACCAGCCATCTAGGGCAATCAGGAGCGTTCTCGAATCGTCTAGGAACTTGAGGACCCGGCACGAGCTCCTGTTTGCCGCGTTCCAAGCCGGAAGGGACTCGACGTGACCGCGTTCCTCGTGAACACGGAATTCCCATGAAACCAACCACCACCCTCATTCATCGTTCGTCGTAGACACCCCCCACTGTCTCTTTCTACCCTCTGTCTCTCCCGGCATCTCTTTCCCCTCGTCCCCTCTATCTCTTTCTCTGTCTCGTGTTTGTTTAGACAAGTGTGTCGTACACCCTCTAACCACCCCCGCCCCTCCCCTTCAGCCCGTAGACCTCGTTAAATACGATAGACTTAGGCACGTGTGGTGCGAATCCGCGTGAAAACGGACATTTCGAGAGAACGGTGACGAAACCGGCCGACCCGGTGTATCTTCCTCGGCCAAACGAACGGACGAACGTTTCCGCTCATTTTCCACTTGTTTACGACTAGCAATAATCAACAGTGTTTAACGGGTCGAACCCGCTGAGATACAGGTCTCGTGGCTCCAGGAATTTCTGACCTATCCCCCCCGGAGGGTTCTACGAATTTCTTCCGGTCCGCCTCGGTCGCCGTTGGTCGCCAGAGTGTCCGCCATCTTGAAATTGGGTTCTAAATTGCTCATCGCGCTCGCCATTCTCCATTTATTCGCCGTTGGAATGTAGAAGTTACGCGTTTATGGCGTTCGAGAAGCTACTTCCAGATAAACTGGAGCTTCCTCAAGGTCACTATTACTTCTTCCGCGAGGTCCTGAATCATTCTCTTGGCGACTCGAAGCGTTTCTATCATTATGTCGGGAGAGCACCGCGATCAACGGCGGAGCGGGAGGACCGTTCTTCTTCCTAGTTTACACGGAAATTCTCGATCTGGATCTTGACGTCTGTGCCAGTATTTGTTCCCGGCGCGGAAATGCGAAAGGACGGTCCGGCGACGCGGTTGGAGAGGAGAAGTGTCGCGCGGCACGATCTCGGTGTCGCTTAGAGTCCAGCCGAACGATAAAGAGTGGCGGGCTCGGCCGCGATCGAATTCGCGAAATCGTCGACGACGCCTCGGGACGTTGTGCCAATTTGAATGGTAACGATGTGCCAAAATGGCGTCCCGAGGCTGTTGTCCTGTCCAGGTCGAGACCGGTCGGGCTCGCGCTAATTCGGATTGGGAGACGCGTGAAACGAGAACGGGATTGGCTAGAAACGCGGCGGGAAGTCTACGGAACACGCTCAACGACACCCAAACCACGTGTGTCCGCCGTTACATTGTTTCTGTAAATATTTGTGCACTTGTATAGAAACAGAGATCACGAATAAGAGGTTTATCGTTATTATTGTCCTTAGTATTATTATTGTCGTTATTCGAATTAATTATTATTCTCTTATTCTTATTATTCTAATTATTATTATTATCCTAATTCTAATTATTATTATCATTCTGGTTATTCTGATTATTCGATTCGCTACTGCGACCCGTACTCTTTTTCTCGAGCGCGGCCGGCGGGCATCGGCGACTTCCGGTTTCCAGAGTCCTCCGAGGACCGTGTTCCTCTTCGCGCCCGGACTGCGGAACTTCGTGCAGCTAGCGGAATTTTTGGCAAATTTTCGCCTGTCGGGTTTAGTGAATTTTCGCGAAATCTTGTTTCGATTAGTCCTATGGGTGTTCGCATAATTTCTCGCAGCTTGCCAAATGCAGCATGCTCTTCGAAGTTGTTTCGCGGACGCGTCGCGTCCGGACTCGGGAATCCTTCGCACTTTTAAGATACAATCGAACGCGTGTTACGACATGAATTGACTGCCAACGAAACGATACGCTTCCGTTATTCTGATTTTCACGGAATAAGCTTACGCGATTAAATTCGCACGAGGACCCGCAGCCGAGCGACCGCGAGGGGATCCTAAACGCGCGTGACGCAACGTCCGGTGCCCGTCGGCATTCTCTGTACATTGAACGAAAAGCAGTATGATTCCGTTTATCCGACGAACAGCCGACTTTATGTGTAAAATAAACGTACAACTTTGAAAGAGATACGTTATCTATGTATAGGTGCATATACGTTTTTGTATATACGTACGGTATATACGCACGCACACACACACACACACACACACACACGCGAGAGTACACGTACATGCTAAACATACACACACACGGACACAGATACAGGAGCACACAAGTGTACACTGCGAGAGCGAGAAAGATGCGATACAGGAATATCAAAATTCAGCGAGTATTTTGTTAAGATCGACTCTCGTTGTTGACTCCTCCCCCGACAACCCCCTCGACGGCCAGCCCCTCGTCCAGGGGAGGCCAGGATGATTTCGCGGTGCTCGTTACCTCCAGCTCTCCTTCTTCCGTGTTCGTTCATCGATGTCATTATTTTACCCCCATGCATCTGCATTTCTACTTCACCCCTTGCCCTGTGATTTCGAAGTTTTAAGGGAAGCTTTTCCTCCCAGACACGGTATAATTTGGGAGACGTGCTGTTGAAACTATAGGGTGAGTCGTCCTAAAGCGGCACGCTCTCTTTGTCCACGAGTTTTATCTGTTTTCTTCTAAGAATTTAAACATCGCGGTTTTGTAAATAATTGTTTCAACCGGCAACAATTCAAATATTATTGAATCGACGATGGCTGTAACGAGAAAATAGAATTTTATTTCGATACGAAAATGTTTGGTGGCAGTTCGAGGATTGTCGCGATATCACGGCGCAAGGGGTCAACCACCCTTAGAGGGCCAAAACTCTGCCCCTAACCGAAAAGAAACCGCGGAAGCCACGGATTTCCTCGTTCGACTGTATTCAATAAGATGCGGTAGAGAGTCGTGTAAGGTCGTCTTAGAAAATCGGTGGTGTGTTAGTGTTTAAACAAGAAAATGAAATCAGAGTCGTGACTCGTCGCCGTCGCGTTAGATCGTCTGCCCCCGTGCCGTCGTCGGCGACGGGGGCCGTCGGAACGGATCGTTTCCGCTTCCTATTTTAACCTTTCGACCGGGGATGACGAGTTCTCTCGTCGTTCGCAGCTGCCGTCACCTCTCGCTAATTATTCATTTTCTACTTAATACAGCGAACAATAATTCTTCCACTTTGTTGTCGTCCATATTGAAACGCCATCCCTGGCAGAATAATGCAACAAACTATTGTAAATATGCTTGTCGACTGAATTACTTGAGCATTTATTAAACATAAAAAAGTGGTGTCTCGTGTACATTAGGAAAAGAAAACGTTTGAAAAATGATAAATGCTCGTATCTTTGTACTAAATACGAAAGAACGTGCTGGCTGCCGTCACGTGACCGTTGTGTAAAGATTTTAGTACCCTGACAAGAGATAGTATTTCATTTATGGTTAATCTTTTCACTGCTGCTGGCGTATATTTGTGGTACGTCCGTTATACCTATTATAGTTTGTAATATATTATAACATTGTAATATATATATTATAATCTATAACATATAATATATTGTGTAATCTATAGCATATAATATATTATAATCTATAATCTATAATATACAATATATTGTATAATTTATAGTACATAATATATTACAATCTATAATATACAATATATTACAATCTATAATATATAATATATTATAATCTATATTATACAATGTATTGTACAATCTATAGTATATAATATATTATAATCTATAATATACAATATATTATGATATATAATATATTATAATCCATAATATACAATATATTATGATATATAATATATTATAATCTATAATATATAATATATTATAATCTATAATATATAATATATTATAATTTATAATATATAATATATTATAAT